AAATATAAGAGAAAGGTCTGGAGAAAGCAAGCAATGGGAAAGAGGTGTAGTGATTCTACATCAACATTATATTCTGACATTGTGTCACTTATTAAAATTCCAGAGACCTATTTAACATTACTGATCCAAGGATTTCAGGGAACATGGTGTGACTACATGACATCCTTTATGCCCATTGGTGTGGAAACAAAAAGAGCCTTTATTGAAATGGGCATTTTGCATATACCAAATTGTGCTAAATTACAATATTGTACCTTTCATCCTAAAAGGATCCTTAATGCTTTACAAACTTAACCAATGCATACAAACCCAGTAAACACAGGGATCACATCATCCAGCACTCAAATGCAGCCACTATTTAGTAACACACACAGCACTGCACAACAGATGAATCACTGAATTCTCTGGGGCATATTTTCAAAGGCAGATGCAATGGGCAGGGCTTGAGAAACAGATATCTGTTAGCTGGAGGGCTAAGCCCATTTAGACAGAAGCTGATAAAAAATATGAGAGAATTGTTAACAGAGAGGTCCAGGGGAAATTATAAAGTAATGAATCATCCCTGAATTAGAGCCTAATTAAACCACACATGGTGATGAGTCATTCCTGTGCAAGGCTCCAGCCAATCCACAAGCCAGGAGCAGGTCTGGTGATATAAGTCTCGCAGGAGAGGGGACAGGATCTGTTCAAAGAGTGGGGGCATGGCTGGAGTGTGCTGCACTCTACCAATCTCCAGCTGGCAGAGAGGCTGTGGAGGGCATGATCTAAATGGATATAGATCAGGTTTAAACAGATGTAAGTGTCTCCTTATAGAATTGTTCTGGTTCAACATCACATCTTTAGTTGAACCAGTGCAACTTCTGTGTTTAGACAAACCCTAAGAATCTGACCACGAAAAAAAGACCTGTTAGTGTATTTACTAAAAAGCAACAAAGAGTCCTGTGGCACCATAAAGGCTAACAGATGTATTGGAGCATAAGCTTTCATGGGTGAATGCACACTTCGTCAGATGCATATAATGGAAATTTCCAGAGGCAGGTATAAATATGCAGGCAAGAATCAGTCTGGAGATAACGAGGTTAGTTCAATCAGGGGATTTACTATCTCTCTCCGCTTATACAGCAGTGTTCCTCATAATACTTTTTATAGTGCTTTATGCAGCCTAGTTTTAAATGACTCAAGCGACTACACTTCACTTATCAGTTTGTTCTGCAACCTAAAACATCTCGCTGGCAGGAAGTTTTTCCTGATAGCCTAAACTTTCCCTTTCTAAATTTCATCCCATTGCTATTAATTATTCCCCCACATACCACATTAACCAATTCCTCTCCTTCCGTGGTGTTTACAAACTGAAATACTTGAAGGCTTGTTGTGTCCCCTGTTTAGAAGTTGCAAAGCTCCTTTAATTTTTCCTTGTCAATTAATCCCTCTAGCCACCAGGTGATTGTGTTGCTCTTTTTCGTACTCCTTTCAGGTTGTCACCAACTCTCTGTCTAGAGTAGTGCACAATTTGGTTGTATAGATAGGGACTTAAACGCAATGCTCTGTGTGAGGTGATACTTTGCAGCCCAAAACTGCATAACCCTTTCTGCAACCAGAGTACATTGGTCCTGTGTATTAAAAAAAAAAAAAAAAAAAAAA